GGTTTTCAAAATGAGGGTGATGTTGCACGAGTTTGGTCAACACCTGTAGACAGCCATATTCCGTACAGCATCTTCTATTGGTATACGAACGATCTCACTCGGACGGGGGCGCGAGCTGTCTTCACCACTTGTTCATCCCCCCCGCCCACCTCCGCTCCTTCCCAGTTCTTGGCTGTGTTTGTGGGGTCTTGTGTTCGCTGAGCTTGGCGTTGGTAACCAACGCACTGACGATGTCACCTCGGCTGGTGATGAAACGTTTGCGATCTAAACACCAAGCTCAGCGAACACAAGACCCCACAAACCATCAACCTGAGCTGCAAACCACACCCATATCCAAATCCTTGGCTGTGTGTTAGACTGTTAAATTTTCAGCCAATCGGGTTTGATTGTATCCTCGAATCATTGATCATTAGTCAACCAAATCTTGAAATTAAATAAGACACACTCAAGCATTACAGCGTTACTTATGCGTCTTTCAATGGTGATGTTGTTGTCTAAGTTAAAGATTGCCGCTGTTACACACTTGCTCCCGTCAAACACAACAATTATGCCATCTTATTCCTCATCACAACTCACCCACTCACCCTCGAACTGACTGTGATATTTGGCAATATGCTGTTCTGTTATTTCCAATTGCATATAGATTAAAAATTTTCTCTCTTTTTCCCTCCACTATCCCACCCCACCCCACCCCCCTAATTTGGCTTGATAGTGCAGTAATCTGATCGACCAATATGTGCCTTTGGTCATTGAATTTTTCGAAGCCAATTTCCAACCGGAAGAGGTGTGCGAGGTGAGTGAAGTCTTTTGGGTTCGAAGTTTTATTTTAGCTTCTCAATTGGGAACAGTCCACTGATTTCAGTTCGAATTCATTTTATAGTGATGGTTTTTGTAGACAGGGGCGGTGTTAGTGATCACCGCTAGAGAGAAGTTTGCATCATGATGTTCAAATAAGCACCATTCTTTCCAGACGCATCCGATGTAGACCGCAAAACTAAAACCACATCGGTCTGAATTAGTATGTTTCATTTTACATTCCACCTTCCCGTCCTTTTGTGTACTATAATAATAATAATTATTATTACTATTCCCGGTTCTTCGGTAAAGATAATCCGACTTCACAAAATTTCATGCGCGTTTGGTACCAGAAGTGTCTTCAGCATCATTCGACTTTTTTGAGAATACAACTCTAGGTTTTGCAATAACAAATGCTGATTGCTAGTTCAGTTCAGTTCAATTCAGGCAACCATAAACCATGCACTTTCGTGCGCCGATTTTGGTTGCTGTCTTTTAGCTGTCCATTTGAATGAACAGTTGAAGAAAGATAGGAAAGTTGAAAGTAGAGTTGAAGAGAAAATGGAGAATTGTTCAGTGGACTAACAGTGCAAAGAAATTGAGGAGGTGCACGAACGCCACTGTTTACGATACTCATTCATATCACTCAGTGTCTCTAATCATCGATTACGATTGTCCCGAGGTCCTCATGTAGGTAGCCTAACAGGATCTATGTGAACCAGTCTCCTGGTTAGGTTTTTCATACCCTCATGCCAGGTCTTGGCTTTATTCCATCCACACTATCTGCCTCGGCGAATATCGCTGACTGCTAGGCACTGATGTGATGTGTAATAGCTTCTTGGGACAGATTTCCGTTATAGTCGTTGGATCGAAGAGTGGAGCACATCCGCTCACTGAGCAGGAATAGCCTTTGGATGTCGTAGTGCATCTCGTTCGCGTTTTACATCTTCGTTACCCTTAGTTTCCAACGGTTCTCCCGATATTTCCGGTATCTTCTGACATTTGTGTGAGTTTTCCCACTACTAAAGTTCGATAATTGTCTTTTACCGAATGTCGGTTCGCGTTTGTACGGTGGTTGTTTCGAAACGGACTAAGCGTTTTTTGGTGAAACCCGACGGGAAATAAGAGAGAATAATTCGTTAGACAGCCCACAAATTGGCAATTCCGTTCACCCATTCTCATGGTGATGCATGATGATATGTGAACTTTGTGACCAAAATGTCACCCACAATTGATTCACCTGTATTCTGTGAAATTCCAGGCCACCCATGTGATCCGATGTTAACATCCATATTCACCTCGATAGAATTCCAAGGTCAGGTCAAAAGGTCAATGTGGGCTGTTGAGTTCAGAACGTGGCTTTGTTACCAGCGCGTCACACTGAACCACCACCAGGTGAGCCTGGTGAGCCTAGTAGCGCGATTTCACCTTCGGAGAACGGTGATCGAATAACCAAGTTGGCTTGACGATACCCGATCACTTGATGATCTGATTGCGCATGAATGAGTCGNATACTGCCAGGTTTGCCCAGGTCAAAGCTGGTGAATTTTCTCAGGGAATTCACTGAGCCGGTGATCATCGCCACAACCAGGAAGCTGTGCATAAGTGTGATCCGTACGCCTGTTCTTGATGTGTTTGGGGTAGTGAGTAGGGCTTCTTTAACAAAAGCTGATTGAGACGCTTGGTCGTATGGGAGCATTTCATGAAGTGCAAGGGAGAGGTGACCAGGCGCACACCAACGCCCGATCAAATTGAAGCTTGTGGGGGCTCATCCACTACTCTGAACCAGTTGTCTGGTGGGCCTAGTATGACAGTTTCATTCAAGCCGAACGGTGATCCAGTGATAAGGTTGGTTTGATGGCACTTGACTAAGACGTATATCTTTGTCCCGGACAGAATGAGCAATGAACTTCAGGTGACTAAGATTACGTTATTATCGGTGTGTCGAAGGAAAAATGTTGCACTCAGTGACCCTGTTTTATTCAAGGTATTCAGCTTTCAATCGACAGTTTCCCGTCTCCTCTCGTACTGAATTCTCAGTTTGTGTTATACGTCGCGTGAGCCAGTTTTCGAAAGAAAATTCATTTTGACCTAGCGGGGCCTTATGTGGTTCGCCACTCCAAGTCTCGCACGGCTTAGGTTACCGGTTTCCGTGACGGAGCAGCAAGTCTTCGTGACTATGGGGTTCATCCCGTCTGCTGTTCACCACACTTAAGTGTATAATGAAAAATATATAACTTCAATCGGTAATCTAATGTTTCATGGTTTTGGACGAAGTTATTTAGTTCTTCACAGACAATTTGTGTATTGGGTTACAGGTTTCACTGCGTGAGAGTGCTTTGATTTATTCTTCATATGTAATAAAAAATAAGCATGTGGTGATCATCAAAACGAATGGGACAGTTGTTTCGTCATTGTTAAAGTTTGTCGGCGATGCGTCCTTTTTGCGTCCTCACCGAGTCCCAGCAGGTTTCAATTTCCAACCCCGAAGGTCTGCGATTCAAGCCCCAATGCGGAGAAAAGCCAAGGGTGGTCAAGCTAAGACCTGGCACGAGGGTATGAAGACCCTAACCAGGTAACTGGATCACACAGATCCCGTTAGGCTCCTTCACCGGGGACCTCGGGATGATCATAACCGATGGTTAGAGAGTGTCGTGAATGTCGTAAACAGTGGCATTCGTGCATCTCCTCAGTTTCTTTGCAGCATTAGTCCACTGAACAATTCTCCATTTTCTCTTCAACTCTACTTTCAACTTTCCTATCTTTCTTCAACTGTTCATTCAAATGGACAGCTAAAAGACAGCAACCAAAACTGGTGCACGAAATCATCATCACCATGACCATCATATAGCGAAATACAGTGAAGTGAACTTGACTGGTCACTGCCAAACTCGCAATATATACAAAGTTTGTGGTCATATTTAAGGTGCACAGGAGCTTGACCTATTCCGAGGGAGGGGGAAGAAAGTGGTCCGCACAGTACAGAATCGAACTCTGCATACATACCGTTTCAAGCATTTTGACCTGATAAGAAACGACAACAAGAACGCCACTGCTGTCGGTTCACTGTGATATTCTTCCATGTCTTCAAACAACCAGTTGTGGAACCTTTCGGACCCCAACCTGGAAGTCTCGAGACCCTGACTCTACCTAATTTTTCTGGGCATTTCTCCATTCATCGGTTTCACGTCATCTGTTGACCTCCACGTGGTTTCCTTCAGTCCGAATCGACTACAGCAAATAAAGCGCGATCCGGCCGGCGACAGTTGGGCCTACACAATGCGTGCCTGAGCCAGCGAAGTGTACTAATCTGAATTCGGTGTGCCAGCAGGTTTATACCCGATAGACTCCCAAACACACCGTGGCTTACCTAATCATTACTAACCCGTTCGCTCCATCCCACATGGGCTAAACTACATAAACATTGATGATCGAAAACTTCTGGTGGACGAATCACTACGTCGAAGTGCCTGGTTAATTGTTATACGAACTGAACTGAACTCATCGCTGCAGAGTCTGAAAACCGAAATGAAACAGTTGTATTACGCTTTTTGCCGACTGTCACACACGGGATTTGCATTACAAACCCAAATAGTTGCCGGTCTCGTCTTTGACAGTTCTTGTTGAATATTAATCTAGGAGATTGATTTTTTGATGCTCAGTTGTTGCCTTTTCCATAACCCTACGAGGTGAAGTGAATCTGGTGCATGGATAGTTTGCAAAAACTTCATTTTTTTCACAACTCTCATCATCATTCTGGTTCCACCACCTCGTCTTGATATATATTGGCAATCAGAAAATTGGCTTCTGCCCAGACGAGGCTGGCAGTCTACAGGCTTTGTGCTTACGCGGACCATCCTATTGGTGTTTGAGTCGTGAGACCGCGGCCCGTTGCAATGCCAGTGCAATCTGTTCCGCACGACTATTCAATCCGTCCTCGGCAAACGAGATTTGTCACATTCGCAATCGTCCGCAGATTTGTGCTAGCCACGAACTGGCTGCTGCATGTGGACTAATCAATGAATGTGCCAGTCAACGTCTCACAAGTTTCATGCAATCGGTCACGCATTTGCTCAATCTGCGACCACAATTCTGGTCATCCGCGACGGGCAAATGGAATTGTACAATCTGTACCGACGTCCTCAATGATTGGTCGACAAATCGAAAGTATTTGGGTACACCGAACTTCAGTGTCCATATTTGTATACGTTATTCCAACCCGTCAGATCGGGAACAGGTACGTGATCGAGCAGTGAACGATTGCTGGAGAAAACGGTCTTCATTTTGTTGCCTGTTGAATATTGAGGTTCTGGGTTTGCGTGAAAAAAATAAAACAAATGACAGCATAATGGCTAACAGATTTGACATCATTTTTATCGAAAAGAGGAAACATATGGGTTTGATCAGAAATTGCCTAAGGTGAACTAGTGATGCGATTTCATTTAAATACGGCACGACAACAATAACATCTTTTCAATCAACCATAAGTTCCATTTCTGAATGATTCGATGACGTTAACCTTTGGTTAAACCCAAACAAATTTTCATTGAAATTTTGTTTTTCACTAATCGTAGGCCATCAACAATTTCTGGATCATCTATTCCCAAGATCTTACTGAATAACTTAAAAGTTGAAAGATCACAACACTTCAAATATTTTGGATGTGTTCTGTTTGCTGACCTCATATGGTCCCATCACAAACATTTATCAAAGTTAGAAGGTTGACTTTTTATATTTTTTATCCCATCGGCATCTGTGGGTGCCATTGTAACTCATTTTTAAATTTATTTTCTCGTGCGTTTTATGCCATTGGACCTACACTGCTCCCCCGTTATCTTTCCCGGTCTGCTGTCTAAGGAAATTCATATTAATTAGGCGCTTTCTCTGAAAAGCATCTCTAGATATGGAGCTGTATTTTGTGAGGAGCTGGTTGATTCGATTGTCAATCAACACCTTAAGGTGTGTGCCCGTCTATGTAACTCAGTCTTATCTGATGCATCACATCTCTTACACTTAACCCTGTCATTTCAATTTCTGTCGCCCGCAATAAATTTCAATTTTTGAATACTCGTACCACTACTTTTCACAACTCCGTTGTACCTTACCTTTCACGTTTGTTGGTTTCCAGTTCACGAATATCAAACGAACTTATACACAATCTAATGTAAATTATCATGCTGAAATTCTCTTCATTTTTTACGCGTTCTCAGTTTCCTCTTCATTATCATCTAAGTAACTATCAGTCATATCTTTAGACTCCTTTTTAATGGCATGTATGCCAAAGCAAAAGTGATAACAGTTTTCCCGCACTGAAAGTAGTGCCCACATTGAATGAATAAATTGCACTCTTGACTTGACTTGAAAGATCATTATCTTCAATTTCCAAGCGGTGGTAGTCAAATGGTTTCAATCGGCTATAGTCAATGTGCTTTTGGGCCATGGGGTCCGAAGTTCGAACCCTCGGAAACGTTCTTCACCGTCTTGTTTGGTGTGCTGGTTCAGGGCTGTTCAAGCACAATCCAGATGTATCTGAAAACTGGTGTATGATACCTTAGACTGTGTCCAGCTAAAGGTGTCTTTAATTCAGATAGTAACGTATTTTCTTCAAACTGATTTGCTGACAATCTTGAGAGGAATTGCATCGTACAGTTATAATAAACCTCCAATCTGTGGGAACTAATTTTAGTCGCCTGTGCTGTCAGCAACGGTTCTATGAGTGCAGCTTGGGCTTTTGCGCGAATATGCCTTACAGTTGCACCGGTTCATGTGACGTTGAATCGGACACCGAATGATCAATTTGAACAGTTCTCAATACAATTTCTCTCTCACCCTATCGGTTATTTTCATTCCATCTCAGCTTTTGGCTTCTCTTAAATTCCATTTGTTTGATGTGAATAGATTGATCGGAGTTGGGTGTAAGCATTGCCCAACTGTCGTGAACGATCCTCAGCCCTGTTCATCAATCCAATTCACCGGGATTCAGATAGGTAGCTTTGATGTCGTCCGGTACAGTACCACACCTAACTTATTGGGGCCTTATGTGGTTCGCTACTTTAAGCCCCGTACGGGGATTAGGCTGCCGGTTTCCATCACTGAACAGCAGGTCCTCGTAACTATGGGGCTTTCCCCATCTGCTGTTCATCACACGAAAGTGTGTAATGAAGAAAAAGTAAAAATTTAAAAAATCTGTAATAATTCCGATAGAGGGCAAAACAGAAGAGATGTGGCAAACAAGCCGTTAATTTTGGGAGGTGGGTGTTCCAGCACTGATCGCATAATTGGCAATAATTTCTTCCGAAGTGTGAATTTTCTCGACTGAAATGTTAGGTTGGGGTCACTTCGAACACATGGCCACGGGAGAGTAAGGAATTGGAATAACTGCTTCTGTGCAAATAGTGTGTGGTTGTTTATTCTAATTGCTGTTGCCTCTACTGTAGATCGTAGATAAAGTACAGATAATAAGCTTGTTCGCCACATCTGTAACAATTCACTATAGTTACGATATTTCGACTTTATTTTCGTCTCATCGTGACGGACAACAGTAGAAGATTGTTTGTATGCGGTATCGGGTCATTTTACTGCAATTCGCTTGAAGGAAAATGACCTTGATAAGCATACGAGAAACAAAGAAGTTTGGCCAATGGGAACATGGATTACGACATGTGATGTTTTCGTGGTCATAAATTTTTTCCCTCTTCTACTGAATGATATACTGTATGTATTTTTTTTAGCCACTGTTGGCCTGAAGTTTCCTGTATTTTCGAATACATGTAACCTCTTTTCCTGTCCATTGTGATCGATGATTATAGGTACCTCGGACGCACTTGAAAATAAACCGATTCTAACTATTATTTGTCGGCGCCACATATCCTGCTATATATTATCTATTTGTACCGAACTTTATCTAATCAGTACATAAACGGGTAAAATTTGTATCCACCCTCTCACTCCTTGTTTCCAGTGTGATCGAGTATGGAGACAACGCTATCGAGCGTTCCATCAGATGTTGAATGCAAATACTAAGCCTGAGACAATTTGTACGGTAAGTCAGTTAAATCTGTCTCACATGGTGCTACCTAATTTGTGGTACTCTACTCTCCCTCCCTCCTGGGTGTGTATGTGGGGTAATTTCGCTCAGATAATTGGTGGGTCATGGTAGGACGAGTGATTAGAATCGGTTTTTGGTCTGGAGTGTTGGTGGCGCATTGACTTAGTCGTTGCCACTGGTGTGCTTTGGACTGGATGATCTGAGGTTCGCGTCCCTCCACCGTCACCCAACTTTGATGGTACAAGCAACTTGCCCGCGTCCGGTTCAATGCCATGCCTGAGCTAGCGAGGCCTTATGTGATTCGTTACTCCAAGTCCTGCGGAGCTTAGGTTGTCAGCTTCCATCACTGAACAGCTGATCCTCGTGATTATGGGGCTCACAGTCTGTTGTTTATCATACACTGGTTTGTAATAAAAAAAGCACGGAGACGGATAGGCACTCAGTCCAGCCGGGAACTCAATAGTATTCAACTGAGCGGAATTGTTATTTTTCCGTATGCTTCGCGTTTATCAAGTTGCTTGTAAATCCACTCACCCTCCCCGAACACTGTCAATGGGCTATGCAAACCTGGTCGGAATTCGGCGGTTTGAGTAAAACGATACATCAAACCTGACTGCGCGCTATTACAGGAATCTTCGAANTGGGTGAGCGAGTGGGAATGCCAGTCTCCTCGGTTCGGATTGCGAACGAAACAAATTTTGTGATTATATACTATACAGTCGAAGAGGAAATTTAAATAAAACAAGCAACACAATATGAGCAGAATTGATATTGGCTGTCGATTTTGCGTGCTCTCAGTCAACTGTCTATGCACATTAAATAGGTCGAATGTTATAAGAAGAATACCATATACGGACTATTTACATAATCACATGGGTTCAGACGGGAAGAACTGGGTTGTTCAGTCATCACTAAAGTTATTTGGATATGGGTGAAAGAGGAGGAGAGGAATGTTAGCATAGAAACAGTTACGTAATGGAGAATGATCAACCGTGGAGGAAAGAGAGTTGAAAATGGTCGCGTAATACGAAATAGATACAACCAGAAATTAATTAGAATGGACGTAGAAAAGTAACGGAGTGGAAAATCGGTCAATTAAATAGGTCAAAAAAGATCAGTGCTATTGGTGTGGCCCCGTAGCTTAACTGGTAGAGCATGTGCGTACAATGCGTAGGCGGCGTCCATGCTTGGGTTCGAATCCCACCGAGAGGCTACCGAACTTTTCACAATCCCGACATACAAACTACAAATCTGCCGAACAACAATTTGAAGGTCAAAAAGAGTTAATAAGAAAATGGGAAGGGTGAAGTGTCAATGATTTAAGGGAACGGCTGAGAGGAAAGAACAGAAAGGGGGCTTTACCATGGTGCATCACAAAGGTCTTTTTGCACGTATAAGTCGGACTTTAAACGGCTAATGACAACCGCTTCAGCAAACCTAAGCATCCTTGGGCACGACGCGGAAAGCTTTGCTTTTGTCAATGCAGTCTCCGGTATCCAGCAAACGTGTCGTGCCACTGCACTTGCTGGAAGTTTTCCTCCTCAGAGTGACAAGTTTTTCGGAACCTGGTCGACAGCCGGCGTTCGATCCTTTCGACTTACTGCGAACCACCAGTACATTGAAAAAAATGAATGCCATTCGGAGGTGACTGAATTGTTGGATCTGTCTATGTTTGACCTAATTAATGAGTTCATTCTCATGTGAAGACCATGATCAGCTTCACGCCAAGATAGGTGGACTCAACTGTAGTACGAAGCCGATGACCAACTCGTGCAATTAGATCGTCTCTCCTCTAAATTTAATGTGCGTAGGCAGATGATTGAGAGCACGTGAAATTGATAGCCAATACCAATTCTGCTCATATTGTGTTACTTGTTTTATGGAAATGGATCCAAGGGAAAGGACGTCTGCGAAGAGAAAATTCTTACATATGTGGCTTGTCAGGAGTCTACGTAAGATCTTTCAAAAGGTATTGGATTTGATACACCCTGTACAATAACTGTGAGTCGACCTGATCGTGTGCGTCAGATAGTTCACTAAGTTTGTGTACTGGTCGGATTATTGACGAGTTACAGTTGTCATTTTTTAGACAGATCTTGCCCAATAGCCTGGTGGCATGTTTTGATGGCACCCAACTTCCGTTTTAACCGCACGGCTTTTGATTGGTTGGTTCGTTGTTCAATAACTGGTGGTTCGTTGTTCAATAACTGTAACGCGTCACACTGCGGATGGTGTTATCTCAAACGTTCGGATCGCCACAGTTTAGCATGGCTAATTAACTGCCTTGGTTCCCGCAAATCCGAATGCACACCCGCCACGCTTCGTGCACATTTTAACGGAAACGTGGACATTAGAATTAATTGTTCGACAACACAGTTAAGTACCGTGGATCGAGTTAAACATTTGCATTCGCTATCCCGTTTCTTATCTCATCGTGTTACAAATATTAGTAGCTAAGTACACATTTGCACATGCTTCCTATATGCGTCTTTACTCATTTCAATTTTTCTTTTCACCATAGCAACTAAATTTGTGTCAAGTACCCACAAATGGACGGGCTTCACCGTGCCTCGAAGATCCATTCTACGCGATCTCATCGCAACGCGCTGCCGAACAATGCGGGACACTAGACTTGTGGAATCAATTGCAACACATGGAATCCAGTCTGTCCAGATCACAGGCTGATAGCACCGTGACACCACCGGTCGTGAGTTCACAGACCGACAGGGACGACTCAAATGTTCAACCCGAGATCGTTCTAATTCCGGACACACCTGCCTGCCGTAATGGTCCAGACACTTTCTGTCAAACCATGGAAACGGCACAGAATTGTGGTCAAACTGGTGTTCGTTATTGTCAAAAATATGTGTGGACTGGTGATAAACCACCTAGTGTACCCGAAATCGCTCCGCGTCGGATTGGTAGTTCACGTTGCTCTTGGGGACCGTCCTATTGGTGTTCCAGTTACGAAGCAGCCACTTCTTGTGGCTCGGGAGCAGTGAATTTCTGTCGTCAAAGGCGTTTGATTTGAAGACAGCTGATCGGGAATACGGTATCCGTATGGGCCAAACATTAGCAATGCAATCACACGTTTAATCCTCCTCCTCCTCATCATCATGTTACATCATCCGAAATTCTCGTGTCCACGTGAATTCCATCCATTTTTAATTTGAAAAGAACAGGCAAAGATTTAAGACAAAACCCACAATACCGCACACTTGGGCAGCAGCTGTTGTTCTTATATTGTGTGTGTGTGTACTCACTCATTGGTACATGGTGCCGACCATCTCTAGAATCGTACCTCCTTCCTCCCATCCATCCATCCTTCCTATCCACTCCATTTGATTGACCAATTCTTTTCTACACGATTTCCATCATTGTCATTTTATAAACCTTTTCACGGTGTTATAATCTCACTGTACTTGCCGCATACGCATTGTGCTATGTTTTCTCTCACTTGTACCACGTCACATGGGAAAGTGCAAATCGCATAGAGTGTGGAGCCATTCCGATCGTGCTGTGTGGACGATCTCGGGGATCGTGTGCGAAAACAAACAAATAGAGAGCCGGTACCCACGGGGATAGTCAATGAACGGTTGCGGTCGATTACCACTCCCTTGCACTTCGCGAAATGCTCCTGTACTACCAAGCGTTTCAAAAAGCTTCGGCTTAGGAAGCCTTACTCACTGCCCCCACGTGGAGCAGGTGTTTTCTCACCAAAGCGAGAGGACGAAAAGCCGAAATCCGGGACTATAACCGGGTCGGTGGACAACTAACTGGTAGTTGGCCTAGGGGAGTAGGCCAAAAACCCTGATTCCAAACCCACTAAGAACAGGCGTACAAATCACATGCATACACAGCTACCTGGTTGTGATAGTGATCATCGACTCAAATGAACGCCAGGGTGTATGGGCACCTTGGACGTTCGACAGAAAACTCGGTTTCCGTATTTCCTGGGAGATTAACAACTTCCGTATGTCTCGAATGAGAAGAATCTCGGCGTCATTGTTCAAGACGACCTAGGTTGTTCTTTAAACTGCTCTCGGGCGTCGTCTACCGCTGTGAGACATGTTTGTTTACTAAAACGGGTATTTGTCAAATTTGAACTTACGCTGTTTCCACGATTGTTATCCATTCAAGCATGGATCCATGGCTCCAACGCGAGCGGAAGATTCTGGAACGTCCACAAAGAATGGCCACCAAAGTCGGTCAAGGGACTGCATTCCAAGAGTTATGCAGAAAGACTGGAATCACTACAACTGTACTCAGCACAGTATCGCCGCATTCGAGGGGACCTGATCTTGGTACATCAAATAATGCAGCACCCATGTCGTCCACTCTTTTCCTTATCCTCTAACACACACCTGAAGAGGCACTCATTCAAATTAGTGCTCAAAAAATGCCGGCGTTATTCATTCGCCCTCAGAGTGCATTACTTGGAATTCTCTGTCACCACACGTTTCTGCGCCCACAATTGATTCATTCAAGCACAAACTAGATGAAGCTTTGAAAAGTCTTAAATTCCAACATCCGTAGCGGTACACGAAACACGGATAAATTGTGACATTCATCTACTTTCTATGAACCATGACTCGATTCATCTGTGCGAAATCCTTGGGGACTAGAAAAGCAACCGCTTGTTAGTAGTTCCCATGATAAAACTGACTTTGATCTCGTTCGAAGAGCGTATGATCCGATGAACTGGACACCGGCCTTCAATGGAAAGCGGCTTCCACACACTGCCTCGTAGGTCTGGCTTTGGTTAACTGTAGACTAGGTTTGTGAATTCCCTGGGAAAATTCACCTGCCTTGGCCTGAGCATCCTGGCAGTATTCGGCCCACATAGTACAAGTCGTGGAGCTTATTCTTTTTCACAGACTATTATACCGGGATTTTTTTGGCCTTAGACGGGTGGGATTTCTGTCTACTTTATAGCACAATAAATCTGCCCGATTGAATAGTGTGGTTGCTACTCCATTCTTCAAAGATCGATTTATGATTTAGAGTATCAAGCTTGGATTATTTAGCCCATTCGATTTTTCAGAGGCACCAGACACTGAAAAATCAAATGGGCTAATCCATGCTTGATACTCTAAATTGAATGAGCCATTCACACAAGGTAATAACCGTTGACCGTGTAGCTCAAGGGTAAGGGTTTGATTTCCCTTACCCGACTACTGATCGCGGTTCGAGTCCTGTGACACGGGGACAAAAGGTACACACTGCTGTCGCGTCCCAAACAGGACGAAATAGCTGTCCCGGTGCTGTTTGTTGTTTATCACAAACATTTTCATTGATTTACGATGTTTTCACAAATAAATAAATACTCACGAGGCTCACGTTTGACGAAGTGGTGTAATAGTGGATCCATTATCTATTCCTTGAAATAGTGCCTCAGTTGGCCACGACGACAACCCTTCCAACGATATGCGCACATCTGTGTAATGCGGTTGTCAATTTTCTCTTTGTTCAAAATCTCCCAAGAGTATCCATTATTGCAGTTCTGTGAACTCGTTGTTGTTGTTGTTGATGATGATAATGAAATACAAGTTGCACACTGATCATTTATGTAACCAAAAGAGGGTTTATTCCACATGTCTGTTCGATTTGAGTTGGTCATGAAGGAATGGGACAGGTTGAGGGATTTTTTTTGCACTTAAGTAATGGGGGATTCGAATCAATTTCAAAGAGTGAATTCATCATGTACATGGCAAATGAAGCGTGAACTGAAAATATCGGAAGAATTGTTGAACAGCTTTTTTGACCTGGGTGGGTCTTATCAGTAGTGCACGAATCTATCGAACCCGAGACCTCACAGGCCCAATACACAACGAATTTCCCTTTTGAAATTAAATTAAATCCTGTATTACTCTCATGCAACAAGTAGTAGTGAGGTTGTGGAAGTTTCCATTAGAATCATAACCCTCTGGAGGCTAGTACTGAGTGAGATGAGCAAGGCCCACCATGATCCGCAATAAACTCGTAAAAATGGGTTGTGCTATATTGTGTAACTGGAAAATAAAAAAGGCGACCTGATCCGGTAGTCGAGTGGATAGTATTTTTTTTTTATTTGTCCATTGCGGGAGAGGAGGGGGGGGGCGAAGGGATCGGTGACATCTCACTGCCAATCGATCGAGTTAAATTCAGTCTGGCGACCATCGAATTGGCAAGAGGTTTTGTTTTACTTCATCTTATTGAATGGACAAAGATATCGTTTTCAGGAAGCTGGAAGGGACCAATCAATGATAATTTGATGCTCATGGATATCACCTGCTGTGATTCGGTAAATTAGACGATTGTGAAACACGAAATAAATAAACATACATAAGATACGGTTACTAAAACACATTACTTTCAACCATCTTTCTCATTTATTTTTACTTTCCAGTAGACAAGTATCGAAATTTGAGCTCACAAACCATATTTGTCATGTCACCCACAGGTGGATATAACGATCGATAAATTTGTTTCTGACAGATTACTTAACACCACAGTTTTACGTTTGAATTGTAAAAATAAACAGCAATATACTCGGTTGGATTACAACCCACGCATGAACGGGATAAACATTCGACCGGTTTTCTGAAATCGTTGATAAATTCCATTGGGATGTGTACCCGAACTGGAATAGGGAAATGTTTCATTTCAAGTTGTCTCGTTGACCTCATCGACCATGACAAGCCTCCCAGTGATGTCTGGATGACCATCATGTAGCACAGATTTCTCTCTCTCTCTACCTAAGTTCTCGAACACTCACAGTTTCTGGTTTATCTTGGCTTCGGTAATCGCTATTTTAAGTTAGACCACGGAGGTGTTCCCATCGTAAACCGGAATCGAGAAATGGGACAATAGACAATACGATTCTTCAAAGCCGGTTTGTATATACTACTTGTGAATGCCATACGTTAACCTATATTCATCCGGTTTATCATGTTTGATGGAAGTGTTTAAGTGAGACTATATGATTTCAGAGATAAAGATTATCGAATTCAGAACTCATACTCAAAAAAAGGTGCATTTTTGAAAACATTCCAATTCTTCAACTTGTATTTTTTTTATAAAATCCCGTAATTTTTATGAAATTTATGACATATTTCAACAGCCCTCGTTACGTCATTTCTATTGCAGTTGATTTGATAGAGATCTCTCATTCCGTTCTGGATATATACATATATATATATATATGTGGCCAAAATGGTAAATTGGATTGTCCAGTATTTGAAGGTGTGACAGAGATGGAATATAACCTAACAGCCTGGAACAAACTGGATGCGAATCTGGTCAACACGGATGCATATATCGATCGAGCTCGATCGTTTGTTGTCCCAATTGCAACAGCTTGAAGAGTAGACTATAAAAGGCCGAAATACGAAATTGAATCAAATTAGCTTTCATTTTCATTAAAATACGTCGGATAACACTATTTACACTGCGAAAAAATATTGCATTCTCATGGATTTCAAACACCTAACTGGTTTAGATCACAGGTTAGCTAGATATCCCTAGTTTGTGCTTTTGTATGGCATCTTTAGTCCAAGTTCAAAGTCTGATAGACTTGGAAATTCTACGGTGATATGATACCCTGATGATAGCCGCCAAACTCTTACGCCACTCTCAACGAAACTGAAAGATTCAAGACATCCAATTAGGTCATTACAAGTGTTTGTTGCATTATTAGATAGAAATCTCAAGTAGCTCGTAAGAAATTGTATTGATGTAATACATAGAAACACTCTGGGGATATGAGATGATAGTTAAAATGCAAACAGGTAATGTTACGTGCGGGTGCCATTTTTAATATTCGTTCTCAACATCTTGTGTCACTGGGTCAGGTGTCACGCAATCTGTTCAACGTGTAAGGGGAAACGAAAGAGTGGTTGTCCGACATTTCAGTTGGTTGGCGTTAGTAATTTTTGGTTTTATACTGCACAAGCCATTGCTAACCATGGTGTGTTAGAATTAGCTTACTGATAGCGAACAATCTAGATCTGATTGCTTTTCTGAGATCAATAATGCCATATCCTTTGTACG